AGTAGTAGTGTGTTGTTGTTGTGTGTGTGTGTGTGTGTGTGTGTGTGTGTGTGTGTGTGTGTGTGTGTGTGTGTGTGTGTGTGTGTGTGTGTGTGTGTGTGTGTGTGTGTGTGTGCCTACATGCACAAGCAGGGTTGGATCATGGAAGAAGACTCTTGATAGATGGAAGGAAGGAGAGTGAGAATAAAACAGAGCACAGGAGAGAAAAAAAAGATGTATGTGTATGATAAGCAAAGCTGACATCAGGACCCCAATTAGAGGCCAGTGTGCCTCGATGCTACTGGTGGAGGGAGGCGAGGGAGAGAGAGAGAGAGAGAGAGAGAGAGAGAGAGAGAGAGAGAGAGAGAGAGAGAGAGAGAGAGAGAGAGAGAGCTGGAGAGTAATTAAGGCACAGTATCCAGAAGCTCAGTTTATGTGCTAATGAGTGCCACTGTGTGTGTATTTATGTCAGACACATGTGACATATGAATGATGGGTGGCACGTTGACATATGAAAAATACATTTAAACAGATTCATCATGTGCACATCCGGAGGTGTGGGAATTCAGTGGGAGGAAGAAAAGCAAAGAGATACGCTCAGGGCGATATGTCCATGAGGCTTTTATGGAGCAAAGCTATTTGATCTTTTTCTTTGACTCATTTACAACAAATATAATTATAGTTTATTTTCTATTTGTAATGCCACATATGGTCTATATATGGTCTAGTGTAGTGGCAAATCAGATCTAGGTGAGAATGAATCTATTATAAAAGCTTTCCATTGTCAGAAGATACAGTTTCTGCCAATTTGATGATCAACTAGTCATTTATCAAGTACAAATATCAATAGTTCTCTAGTCCCAGCTTCCCCCGTGTGATAAATGTGATATTTCATTGCATTATATTATTGTAAACAGAATATTGATTCGCTTTGTTTCACTTTATTTCTGACGTTTATAGGCAAAGCAATCAATCAATTGAGAGAAAGAAATAGATGAATCAATACTAAAAAGGTATATATGCCTGACTGTAAAGTCATATTTCAAATATAATGTTGTTCATTCTGTATCTACAACAAATTGAGTTTTGACAAAAGCGTAAAATAAAGATAATTTTTGTAGGATTTGCCAGCTTGTTATATTTAACGTGCTACAAACACATTTTCGGCTGGTTCCAAAAAAGACAGTTTGATACCAAAACATAGTGTGGGAAAAAGAAGTGGTTGGCACACTGCACTACTCCAATCTGGCTCTCTAATTACTGACTGTTTCCTTTTCAGAAAGGATCTTTGTAAAACAGTAGCCTGTCGTTTGTACTTGTTATAAATGTTTAAATGGGAGAAGTGCAATGAGCAGACTTATGTTTTCTATTATTAATCTGCATTGTTGGCAGAAGGGCAGGTCCCTCTTTTATACGCTATATCTTGGATTAGCTTTCACATTTGTTTCTGTGTGTCTCTGCTAACTGGCATTCTTTGTTTTGAATCCCAAGTAGGACAAAACCATCCATAAAAGACATTTAGGAAGGCTAGTTCAACTAAAATGCCTCGTATGCATTATCATCATCATCCATACCTTTGTCTTTCAGCTCAGTGCCACTCCTTCTGTCACGTCATATCTGTCACTGCGCTTACTTAAACCCGGCTAAACTGCCTTCTGTTTTATTCACAGTCCATTAAGCCCCTGCCGGAATGATGCTGTAACATTTTATGGGCTTGTGTACACTAGCAGGATGAAGAAATGCTTCTCATTAGCTAAATCCAGTGAGCTGGAGTGGAACAGTTTGGTCTGTGTGTGTTTGCACTGTAGGTGTGTGTAAAAGAGCGAGACAAAGAGAGAGTGACAACATGGAGAAAGGAACGGAGATACAAATTAAGACTAAGTCACATGTGTGGAGCGAAAGACAGGGACTCCATGTGAGACTACAATGAGACTTGGCTGCCATTCTTCTCACCAATTTGGCTCAAAAATGTCTGAGCACTTAACCCTACAGAGGAGATAGACTGCGTGTGTGAACACAGAAACACAAACACCTTTTAGTGACTTGAATTAATAAGCCCCATAGCAAGCTATGGACAGTCTGACAGAGAAAATAGACCAATTACTTGTCTGGAACCGTCCGCTTAGGGCTCTGGAGGTCTGCGAGTCTGAGGGGAATTGGAGGGAAAATACCAAAATTCAATCATTTCAGTTTTATCCTCCATTTACAGTTGCTTTGTTTCCATTCAGTGCTTCTGTGATTTATCAATCAGGGAGCGAGACAAAGATTGGGTGCCACGTGTTGAATAGAAGCCTGACATGACTGATTTTGTGGCATTGACCAACTAACGCTGGAAATGTTTGTTAACAGCACAATGACTTAATCTTAAACCAAGCCAGATAGCTCTATAACTTGGGAGTACTACAGAGAAGACGAAGTTCAGTAGATGTACTCGTGTTTGGAGTGACTATGGGAGAGGAATAAAAAAAGTAAGAATATTCAGACTCTGGCCAGAAAACACAATCTAAACCTCTCTCCAGTGTTTACCGTTCTTATCATCCTTCATTCATCTCCCCTTTTAACTTTCCATTTCAAGACAGCTATGATGTTCTGACTGTCAAGTGAAAACACCTCACTCTCTTTTCTTCTTCCCTTTCAGCCACGTCCTTAACATTTTATTTCAACTTCCTCTGTGGCTCCTTTCCTCCTCCCATATCGTAATAATTACCCTTCTATCTTGGCTTCTCTGCGATCTCTTCTTTGCTTCCAACCTCTATTTACATGAATAAATAAATAAATATGTGTGTCAATAAAAGAGCTCTCTGTGAGCCGGGACAGCCTGTAAGGCAGAAGCCTATTATTTTATTGTCAACAGCATTGAGCAGATTCATGGGAAACTTTTTTTTTGTTTTTTTGTTTGGCAATACCTCAACATATGGGTGCATAAATCAGAAACCGCCTTATCTCCCTCATCTCCATCTGCTCTCTTCCGTTTCAATATTCCAAGAGACAATAAGCATGCAAAAAGTAGGGGACCACTCACCTCTCTGCACCAGCATGCTGACCTCGCTGCCTTTGGGACACTTGCTGAGCATGTCCACCACCTGGTTGTGAGACATGGTCTGCACGTTTCTCTTGTTGACCTCCACGATGATGTCGCCCTCCTTGAGGCCACGGCAGCGCGGGTAATCCACGATCTGCTTCACCCTCTGCCCTCCGCCTCCTGGACTGTCGGCGATGGTGAAGCCGAAGCCCTTGTCTCCTTTCTCCATGTGTACAGTGATGAGCTCTGGTTGCGTGGCGATGGAGGAGGCCAGGGTGACCACGTCGTTGGGGTAGCCTTGATGGGAAGAGGTATCGGAGGCCACGTCCGCGGAGGGGCTGTAGGGTCGGGGGAGGCCGTTGTGGGGCGCCCCTCCGTTTGTCGAGCTGTTGTTGTTCTGACTCCCGTGGCTGGACGGCGAGTCGTAGCTGTTGAGGGCCTCCTGACCGTTGACGATGATGGGGTCTTTGTTGTCGAGAATGGCCACTGAGGTGACGAGGCTAGTGTTGGGGTCATCGGGGTCAAAGGGCAGTGGGTAGCCGCGGCACAGCTCCAAGTTCACCATGGAGCCGATAGGGATGGACTGGAAGATCTTCACAACTTGAGCGTGGGTGTAGCCGAGCACACAGATGTCGTTGACACTCACTATCACATCGCCTGGGAGGTGGAGAAGAGGGAGAAGTTATCATTTGTATGAAAGGAATTAATTTGGCAAAGCTTTTTTTTTTGCTTGGAATATATGGTTGATAATACATTAAACAGAATATATATATATTTATGTTTTGGACTGACAACGGTTTAATGGATCAAGCGATTCATCAAATAATTGGGAATCAAGAATAAAACAATCGTTAGTTGCAGCCCTATTCCAAAACCTAATATATAAAGAAAACCAACCTGTCTCCATTTTGCCATCCAGGGCGGCAGGTCCATCTAAAACTAGGCTCTTGATCTGCAGGAACTCGTCTGGCTCGTCGCCTCCGACCACGGTGAAGCCGAACCCCCGGCGACTCTTTTTCAGCTTTGTGTTGATGAAAGTCCCATTCAGCTCGGATCGGTTCCGAGTAAAGAAAGGCTTCCCTCCTGGACACACAGACAGATACATTTCAATCTTTCAGATGCACTGATGGAAAAGCCAAACCTGGTTTTTACATTGCCAACAATGTTATAACTATTCTCCATTAGGGGATACACTGCATCTGAGCTTCTGTATCTGGCAATTTGGCAAGTAAATGTTTCTCCTAGTTCCCTTGTAGGCAGTCCCTTTATCTGTTTTAAATTGTGGTTGTGTATAAAAAGGTGTAATTGAGAGGCACTACATTTTTGTACAGAAATCAAATGTCTTGTGACACTCTTAATGCATGAAGGTCACATGATAAAAGCATTTGTATGAGGCTGTGCTATAGTGAATGGCTCTTGCCAACAAGATATCTCCACCATTCAATTTGATTGGTTGTGAGCGTTTCATTAAAAAAAGCAATATCCATGGAAACACATTTCACAGCGCTCTTAAGTCATGAGTAAAGTCTGTAGCCAATTACTCAGTCATCCTCTTTCTTCCTGTACCTCATTATCTGGCATTAAGGGTATGAAAAGAAAGATATGAGATGAAATCAGTCCAAATCAAAGTGAGATATTCATCCGCCGCTTTTACTGCGCAACGGGGAACAACAGTTAAAAAAAGAGACCGTCAGAGTGCTAATCATTTATAAATGGTCTGTTCTTGACAAGCTACATGAATATGGAGATACAAGCACAGTGGAAGGAAAGCATATAAGCGAGCGAACAGTGCAGAGAAGGGATCAACAGAGGAATGTTTGCTTGTTGACCAGAAGCGCCACATTTGGTTCGTGTGACTTAGTTTATGCATTCAATGAAAAATTAATTAGCCTTGGAGTCAGTTTTCGTCCTTGAGTTTGTGAGGATTTTGTGCTGCATGTGTTTTTATGTGTGCAGGGACTATGAATAAACCTTTTTTCAGGACAGGAAGGATGTAACAAAGCAGTGAACATAGATGGTGACTTTATCCACGAGAGAAAGAGAGAGAAAGAGAGAGACTAGGAAGGAGGATAAAGGGAGTTTGATGAAGAGATTTCAAATGACGCCTGTTCTCAGGAGGTGTGTCAAGGCCTAGGTTGGCAAAGGGGGAGGGAGAGAAAGGGTGAGATAGAAAGACACAAAGATAAACTAAGCCAACAATTCAACCAAAGCAGAAAGGGGCGGGAGACAAAAAAGAAGATGCAGCTAGACTGAGAATTTCAGCTATAATGTAAAGAGATTGATGAGAAAAAAGACGTCCCACTGAGCAGCGAGGGAGAAAGAGGGATGCCTTGGCTGGGCTAATTAGACAAGCTGCTGGTGGGAGGCTGGTATAAAGGGAGCTGGCAACCAGGAGAAGGAAACACACGGTGACGGCTAGACACTGTAGGTGTGTGTAGCGCTAAAGGGTGGGTGGATTCAGGCCTATTATTTGATGCAGGAAAAGCAACATAACATAACCTAACAGAGGTTCCATAAGAAGCAACGGGAGGCCACAGTAAACACAGAGGGGGGGGGGCTGTATATACAATGAAACGGTGCTTCGCAGAGTTTGGTTAAGAAAATACAAACACTGCCTCAAGTCTACTGTGTCTGAGTAGAATTGTAATCTACTCATTAAGAATATATGATGAAATGTATATTCACAACTTTATAATAACTCAAATACAGCCTTAAGCGCTGGCTCAGGAAAAAAGAAAAACTATAATGTAAGAGTTACATTTTAATATAACAAATGGAAATAAGCTGGGCGTTAGGAAAAACTAGTCCCGTTTTATAGAATTTTCAAACTTGACATAAAAGGGAACTTACGCTTTTGTCCCACGGCGTTGGGCATTGGTGGTCCTGTTTGGGGGTCCCTGTAGGTCTCCTGGTGGTTGGCAGCATAGTTGGCCAGCGGGGCCCCTGCCAACGCCGACTCCTCGATCCATTCTGCAAAAGCAAGAGGCACATGTTCTCTAGATGGGGTCAAGACAGGTGCACAGCCGCCCTACTTATGGGAGGAACTGGACGACATGTCCTTCTGCGCTGAGTGTTTGAGGAAATAGCAATTTTTTTCTTTCTAAGATGCCAGAAGAAGAATAGTTCTCTGTGGGTTGGATACATTTCCTGGTTTGCGTCTAAAAAGAATCCTTCCCCACAGGACAACAGGGGAAGGGAAGTAGTAACAAAAATAAAAACTACCAAGATATAACGTCAGGTTCAACAGGTCACTTCATAACTTCATGTAGCTTTTAAAACAAAATTAAAGATCCTATTGAAAACAAATAAAGATCTGTGAAAATGGAGCGATCCATTCCCTCATAAGGGCTACCATCTTTCATTAATCACCTTGTTACGGCATCAAGGCACAGATCAGCCTGCAACCTTCATTAATATTCTTGACAGTGAGATAGAATCAATGTAGAAGCGGAAAAAAACTGGGTAAAAAACTCAGCTTGAAGGTATTGAGCTTTTTTGAAGAAAGCTTTCAGACTTGGGAAAAATCCACAGGTAATCGAGTGGAATCGAATGATTTCTGCTGACTGAGCTGAAGCTGGGGTTACGATGTGGATCAGCCCGCATTTACAATTAATCTCTCTACGGGGGGGGTCCTGTGAATGCATAAGGTATTCGTCTAGGAATAGGTGCAACCTGAGGTTACCTATTAGAAGTGTTTTGGCAGCTGTGCGAGCTAAATCGTCACCATTATTACTGGTAGCACTTAGGTGGCAAAAATCAGGTAAGAGGCTCTCCTTATCACTTTCAGTTGAAGAAAAACGTACCTGTCTTCACCCAAAAAGCTTTTAAGTTATTACCGACAACAAGTGTCCGATAGCAACCCAGAAAACTGACATTAACTAGAAAAAGAGGCTGAGCGGTACAGCCGCAAATAATAGTTATGCCTTTATGGAAGGGCACTTAGCAAATCATAAAGCAGTAGCAGGCGACATTAACAAACACAGTAGCAGTAGTTGCAGTAAAGAACACAATCTCACACATATATAGAGAGACGTACGCAGACAAGTCAGTCACACACATGAATAGAAAGAAAGGAAATGACGCCCTTGGTGGGGGCTCGTGAACGAACCTCGGATGTAGCGCTCACCTTCAGGTGGCTGCTGGCTTTGGGGCTGAGGCTGCTGAGGCTGCTGCTCCAGCTGCCTGCGCCTCTTAGCCTCCAACATGGGATTCTCATACTGGGTCTTCCTGTTGATATGACTTTGGGACGGCGGGAAAAAGGAAAGCGTAAATTGGGGGTTGAAAAATAAGAAATAAAGTTAGGGGAGAACAGAAAACAGGATGGAGGACACAAGGTAGGTTTCAGTAGGAAAGTGGAGGGAGAACAGACACAGAGGAGAGGATAAGGTAATAGAGGAGAGAGATGGATAAGCTTTGATTAATACACAGTGGCACAATACACATGCATCCATCAATACGCACACAGTAATCCTCTCTGACACAATCACGTTCGCAAATCACATCAAATAAATCCCATTTTCATGATGGCTTAATTTACAGGCGAAGCTACAAACATCTTGACATCACAAACTAGCCTCGAGAAATTACACCTGAATGCAGCTGCATTGTACCGCACATAAAGGGAACGGTGAGTAATTTATACTGGAAAATATATATTGCAGATGGAAAAAGGAAAGGAAGGGAAGGGGGGGATATTGAAATGCTACAGCCTTGAGCCCCCAGGTGCTGCTTTGAAAAACATTGAAAAATGCATGAAACACATTCGTATTAATGCTGAGGCCACGAGGCATCACACGACATGAGATGCACACACACATGTGCACACATTCACCGCATGTTTTCCCAAATGATAATGACACAAACAAAATGGCCTACATTTTCCAGAACACAAAAAGACCAAAATAGCTGCAGCGCAAACTGGCTGTGACAGCAGGACTGTACATACATTAGAGAGGCTCCTATTTACAACGAGATCTAGATTCTCTTTTGTTAATATAAAAAATGACGGGAAGACAAATGCTAAATGGTTGTTTCTTATTGTTTCTTTATGTGCAGCGTGTGTATTTGTATCCGAGTGTGCCTTTACATACTGTATGTCACTTACTCAACATAGTAGACCCCATACACTGGATCGTCGATTTTCTCCCATCCTGGTGGAAGTTCTAAAACAAAAAAAACAAACATAGAGAGAGTTGGAGACGGATTAAACAAGGAACACTGTGAAGATGCCACTGGAGATCTTTTGCCTCTCCATTGTGCCTGCCTGTCAGTCAGCCTCCAGGGCCGGAGTCACTCAACAGCTACACAGGCTGTCGGGCTGACGCGCCCCCCACACCACTCCTCGTCCCCTCACAATGGTGACATTTCCACACATCAGATAAGAGCAGAGCAAGACCCTCTCGGGCGAAGGATGGGAGAATAGAAAGGAGGGATGGAGAGATGAGAGGAGGTGGGAGAAAGGAGTGGTGATGGGGTCAGAGAGAGGACGGGAAGGAAAGAGCAAAGAAGGAGAAACAAGTGGAAGAAGGAGGGGACAGTGGGGGGGAGCAGGACTTGGAATAATCAAGGCTTTGAAACCATGGTATGATGTTTTATTTATCTTAAAATGTTCTTGTATGATAGTTTTTATCTTATATGTTTGTATAGTTTTGTAATATTTAGGTGTGGAGAGCTGATGGTGCAACTGCCTATATGTGTATATGACAATAATATATCTTGAATCTACAAAATATATTTTTAAAAGGCTTGAGTCTGGTAATGTGCTGCTAAGGTGGGAAATCAATAGAATGTTTTTTTAGCATCATAACATTCACTTTTCTTTTTGACAGTCTAACAAAGAAGCACATATCCGATAAATTGGATGTCTATATTAGTGAAAAGAAGACTGTCCTTGGCTGGACAAAGTGGAAGTGTGGCTGTGTTTTCTGTCTGATAAAGATCGTGAGAGTCACGCTTTGTGCTGCACCTTCAATCCTCTGAAAAACATCTTCATTTGAGGAGGTCGCATTGGACGCAGCTGCTTACTCACAGTGATACAAAATTCATGGTAATCAGCGCTGATTAGGAAAAGAAATGGATCCGACTGGGCCCCACTTCCACAGCCTGTAATTGCCCGATGGTTCACTGTATTTCTACAGTAATGCCGTTATCTCCGACAGAAACATAAGATTACAGCAGCGTTGATTATTGGCCGGCTTCCACACAGATAATGTCAGAGGCTTCTAATTGGCTACAAACACAGATTGTCCAATATCCCCCCTCCTGTGATCAGCTCAGTTTTACATATCGTTACCCGTAGCCAATTAAGCACTGCCCTGTGTGCGAGTAGTTGGTAATTACAATCATCCAACATGGAGAGCCTCCCTCTGCTCTCTAATGAGGAGGGCCCTTAGTTGGAGTGGAGTCAACAGCAGATGCAAAAAACAAAAAAAAAAAGGAAATGTTTAAATCGTATGTGCATGACCCTAAAGATTGCAGCTTGTTACACCAGGCTTGTTAACCTTAACTTGAACTTGCTGGTTTTTATATGTTGATCTGTCTGTATAATTGTTAGTGTAATAGAGGTTAAGAAATGTGTTATGTGTATGTTAATGCCCAGGGACAGCAGATTGAAATAAATTGATAGCTAAATCTGGTTTAAATCATGTCTCTTCTTTTTGAGATTATATTTCATGCAGAGTTCTTGTTTATTAAAGAACATTATAGAACTTATAATAATAAAAATGAGACAAATCTGCAATCAAGAGTCGTCAATATGATGTTTGTAAGCTATTCGAGTCACTCTAATTTCATATTTTCTCAACCTGCTTCATTCCTTTTCGAACACAGAAAGCACAGGCAGCTATGAAATGAATGCAAGGTTAAAGCGTTGCTGTTGGTTACAGGGTGAGCCCCCAAAGAGAGCACGGTGAATCATCAATCTGATTTTTGAACTGGAACGTTGAATGGAATGCGGTCCTGCATGGCCTCGCGCAACATTTTAATCACCCACTTGATTTCACACTGCACTAGTTCCGCCCCTGGAGGAGCACCTGCGTTTGTGTGTGTGGTGAGTGAGGGTGTGTGTGTGTGTGTGTGTGTGTGTGTGTGTGGGTGTGTGTGTGTGGTTGTGTGTGTGTGTGTGTGTGTGTGTGTGTGTGTGTGTGTGTGTGTGTGTGTGTGTGTGGGGTGTGTTTGTGTGTATGTGTGTGTGTGTGTGTGTGTGTGTGTGTGTGCGTGCGTGCGTGTGTGTGGGGTGTGTGTGTGTGTGTATGTATGTATGTATGTATGTATGTGTGTGTATGTGTATGTGTATGTGTGTGTGTGTGTGTGTGTGTGTGTGTGTCACAGAGAAAGCCTGGCGGAGTGAGGACATATGCAGCAACCATCGTAACGATCTCGTACATTACAGTGAGTGTAAACCCAAATGAGAAAGACCAGGAGAGAGAAATGTCTGTCAGTCATTATGCAGGGTTTTCCTCTCACACTGCCTCCCTCTTTCCTCATCCCACCTTCCAGAACATATTGTCAATTCAGCGGGTAGTCAAGCATGATGAATTACATGTCTAACTATTCGCATCTCATTCTCTTGATACTGTGCTGAGATTGATTTCTCTGGAGTAAGCATGTAGTACACGGGCACTGTGTGTGAGTATTTATGTATGTGTGTGTGTGTGCCCTTCATGTGTGTGTGCCCTTCCTTCATAACATCTGCCCCTCCTCAGAGAACTGAGGTTAATTGCATTCCTTTGCCCACTCGTATTGGATTGTGCTGATCAATAATTATTGAACTAGTCATCCAGTGGAGCAGGGCTGATCTGATGGTTATAACATGGCAGCTGTTTAAGACGCTTATCTACGGGATCTGCTAACAAGAAGCTCTGCACACGGCCGCTTCACCATCACGTGCATCGTCAAAATGTTCTGTCCCTGACTTGTTTTTTTTGTTGTTTGCTGAAACACCTGCCATTCAGAAATAAGAGCTAGAAAAATACTGAAAGTATTTAGATAATATTGATTAAATTAGCTTTACTACTTCAATAAGTACACTTACCCACCCCCCATTTTCCTTCTGCTGGTCTATGGCCTTGTAGAGGGAAACGGGGTACAGAGTCGCTTCGATAAGCGGGGGAGTGCATCTGACGAAGAGATAGGTTGTTGTGCTCCCTATCTCTGTTTCTTATCCTATATCTAATAGAGCCGCTCGGGTCTTGATAGATTGAGTGGGGAAGTTCATGAGATCTTTCTAGATCAGGGGTCAGGGTCTGTGTCTGTGTATTCTCTTGTTCCGATTAACCCAGCCAAATCTTTTTTCTTCTTTTGTATCTATATCTACGCCGGGAGCCGGAGTCGAGGCTGATCCTCTTGCTGTAGTCCTGTGTCCTGGATCCTCTATCCTGAGTTCTGGATTAAGTCGTGGACTTCGGGTCGTGGCTGAACCTGTCTCTGCGGTCCTGCCTTGGGTCTCGTCATGCTGCTTCCCTGATGGCTTCCACAAGATTGTAGCTGACATCCTCGTGGATTCATCTTCTTATTACAGACACATGCATTTCCTAACATTCGGTCTATATGCTGTAAAATGTATTATCTCTTCGATTTACACACGGCATCTACTGCACGTCTGTCCGTCCTGGGAGAGGGATCCCTCCTCTGTTGCTCTCCCTGAGGTTTCTCCCATGCTCCACTTTAAACTGTGGGTTTTCTCTGGAAGTTTTTCCTTGTACGATGTGAGGGTCTAAGGATAGAGGATGTCGTTTTTCTCATACTGATATTCTGAACAATCTGTGCTGTTGTATTTGCTGTAAAGTGTCTCTACTGTAGGCTATTTTTATTATATGTACAGCACTTTGGCTCCACCAAAAATCGTTTATAAATGTGCTATATAAATAAAACTTGATTTTATTTAAATAACAAATATACTACGATACTTAAACAGGGTTCCTTAATATGTCCCTGACCCTGGCAACAGATGGTAGACGGACTGCATTTATTTTGCTCTTTACCAGTCTTTGCAACCCCTCGAATACTACAAAAACACAAAAGAATAATATGAAAGATATTTATAGATTTGATCCCTGTATTTCAATGTTTCAACCACAAAGGTCTGCTACCACCATTACTGAGTTGCTCCTGATGGAATGATCCATTACCTGTTCATAACGGAGCAGGCAGTCTGCAGACACCATTATCTGCACAAGAAGCCGCACGGCCGTGTCTGATAGGTTAGTTAGTGTTCTGATGGGCTTCAGGGAAAAAAGGCCTGTTGCCGCCTGACTCGGACAGACACCCATTAGCAAATCATCATTACAACAATCTTCCTCGGATCAGCCCTTGTCTCTTTTGTGTGACATGACGAATCTGCAGAAGTGTAAGTGTGTTTGGATTGCTGCTGGCATGTGGGTACGTTGACAGTTGTGCTCAAGGCTGTTTATTTTATTTTATTTTTTAGACTTGAGTTTTTTTAATTGTGTTAAGTCTGCTTTTCTAATGCATTTGCTAAAAATCAAAAGGTTAGGCTTTGGTAAAGGTCATCTCTCTCCAACTGTGGAGTAAGACTTCATGAGCCACTGGTGGTGATGTTGGGCATGTCATTATGTAGATGTGTGAATCCATTTCTAAATTGATATACAATTTGAATTGCAGATTGGGTGGTGTTAAGATGAGAGAAGTTCTTACCTAAGTCATTGTCCAGCTCTTCTGTGTGGACCCCTTCTGCTCGGAGGGACGGACAGACCAGCAGCACAGAAGGGTTGTTAAATGAAAAGAGAAGGGGGGGGGGGGGGGGTGCACATCTGTGAGTCATTCAAATACATCTGAGAGATAATCACAGCCAGAGCCTCAAAATGGATCTGTGTGTGAACGTTTGCATTTTGAGGGGAAATAAACATGATCTCATTGTTAACAAATAGTTGTTTCTGTTTGCATGCATGTTTTTGTGGCTTAAAGCATCTGTGTTAAATATCTCTGAGCAAGGAGGGCATTACGGATTGGAGCTACATGATGTGGATGATGCATTTCATTCCTATGAAGCTGTGGGGCATCTTGCTCTGACGAACAGCTGAAAGAAGGAGCAGAGCAGTGACACCCAATGACTGCTCGCCATCTTCTGTGACCCAACACTGACACCTAAAGGCTGCTGGGGGAACTACTGCGCTGCTGTAAACATCTGTCACAGCATTGTGAAATAGGACAATAAGGTTGTTTTCTAACCCATGTTTATGTTAGAATCTACTAAAAAAACATAGTTGACTGGACATATGTGTAAATAGAAGTTTCTTTCTTTAATCATGAATGTAAATATGTTTTTCTCGAAATGTCCCTTAATAATAAAACAACAGAATGAGAGAAACCTATATATTTGACATCTGACAGAACTAAATTAGAAGAAAAGTGTATAAATCAAGGAATGCCTTAAGGCCCGTTTAAGTGTAATGCATAAGCAGAGGATTTTACATACACATATCAAATGGTATAGGGAAATAAGGCTCAAACATGAACGTACCATCGTCTTCACATTCTTCCAGGGGTTTCTGAGGCTTGTCCATGCACCGAGGGTCTATCCAGGAGGTGGTCTTTGTATTGTGGCTAAACAGAGAAAACACACACAAATACAATTACCTTATGGGGATAGAAATAATGAAAAAACGCTATACTTTTACATTTGGTATGTAGCAAGGCAGATGTCTTAGAAGTTGACAAGATTTAATATTATAGTGAACTGAGGGGCAGGACTATTTAGTCAAGTTATACATATCAAGAGATGTTGAAATGAGGAATCAGATCTGTTATTGATACATTGGTTCCTTCATAACTATTTGGTTCACAGCACAACAGATCTAGCATGGTCTGTTTGAGGAACAGCTCTTCCACTCTAATGACAGACAGACGCTTTTTGAAGGACAGAAGCTGCTGAGCGAAAGGCACAAAATGATTCCATTATAAAAGGCTCTCACAAGGTCACCCCACTTATTACAGAAGTAACTCATGTAGTGAGTATTTTTTAAAGCATTAGGATCTGGGTTGAATTCAATCCCTTAAAGTCTTAAATTGCAGACTTTATTTCCCATGCTCTTACTCCACTATATTCCTAGATTTAGTGGCTGCATATGCTGAAGAAATGAATAGCATGTTGATTTATGCTCCATTATGTTGTTTGTGATGGATATAAAGCTTTCAAATAGTATCCAAAGCATTATCATTTAAAGACCGAGTTATTGCATGAAAGCCTGAGGAATGTGTTTAACGACTTGATGTTGGATAGCAAAGTGGAACTCTGGTAGTTTATGTCTGAACTTTCTGATCTGCAGAACCATTTGTTTTTTATTGAAAATGTTTACGTATTGGCTTTATATGTATAAACCGAAACAGACTATATTATGTATCCCAGTTTCCCCATTTTAGAATGCAATAAGTCAAACGTTTTAGAACAATTGAATAAAATAAAATATACAATATGTATACAAACATAAGAAAGCAAAGTTAGAGTGTGCAATAAAAAAGATAAGGTAATTCAAATAAGAGTTTTATTTAAACATAGGAAGTTGTAGTTAAAATGTGCAAATTGTACTATAAAATAGTGCATTTACACTGCAATATATAAAGACATTAATGCTCAATTGCACAGTGTATGTACATATGCATGCAAAACTAAATGTTACGTCGTCTCTTTGGTACTTTCAGGAAGTGAAGCCGTGATCAGAGCCACGCTGCGTTACGAGTGTGAACTCACTCTATATAGTAGACCTCTCCGTTCTCGGTGTAGGCCATCTCCCAGTTGTCAGGCAGAGTCCCCAGAGGGTCCTCCGGGGGAGGATGGCTCAGGTTAGAGTTGGAATGCTGAGTGCTCTCCGTGGTGGCCGATGGTGAGGGGGTTCTCCCAACGTAGGGCGGGTCACTCCGGGGGGCGTAGGGGCGCACTGAGTGAGGAATCTCGTCTAATTCACTAGAATCTCCTAAAAGGCCAGGGAAGCACATGGATTGGTGTTAAGAGCAAAAAAAAACACTTTCAGGATCAGAAAGTAGCAGTGGGAACAACTCAATGCAACAAGAGGAGTCTTAGAAACTAAATCTAACACATAATGTCTTTCTAAACTTTGCCCTGTGTGAGATAATTGATATTTCTAAAGAGCACAGGTTTTAGAAAGTTACGCTAACATGACAGACTGTAACACATTTTAAAACAACATGTTTGGAAAAGAAGGAAAGAAAAAGTTGGAACAAATGTTTACCTGTCATTGTTTTCTTTCATGTTCAATGAAATGACATATGTCCTATTTACCTAAGCAGTCCAAATGTATATGAGTATCCTTTTGAAGATTTGTTAGAAAAGCTATATCTTCCCACAAGTGTTGGCCCAAGGAAATTCCAAAGCTTTCACTGCTAGTTTTTGACTGAAATCCCACTATTGTGTTACACTTCCCACAGCAATAGAGACATTAACTTCAGTTAAAGACTGCTGAGTGGGCAGTTAACACCTAAAAGCATGGCCTGTGAAGTGCTATCACCTAGTTTCCCGTTATCTCATCTTCACACTTGACTGGTTGGCACCCTCAGAGCTCGCACAATCACAGACGGTGAATAAACAACTTTAGGTCCCATCTTCTCAAAAACACATGGCAGAGACAGCTTTAGGGCTGAGTTACCCTCCTTAAAATGCCTACTGACCGACTAACACACAAGAGGAGATAATAAGATATCATTCAAATTCAATGCTAACAGAAAACAGCGTTGATTTCAGCATCATGCTTTCAAACATTTTGAATCATGGAATAACATCTCTTACTCTAACATACTAGACTAAGAATAAATGCATCCATGGAGGCGGCTCAGCCTTCTGGCCTCCACTTCTTGCAGCCAGAGGGCACTATTTTACACTTTTGGATGCATGGATACAGGCAGATGTAGTCAAACCCAGAGACCACTTACTCACCAATGAAAGAAGCTCTTGTATGCTGTAGCCCCTCACCACTTTAAAGCTCTCTCTTTCTCTCTCGGCCGCTCCTTCTCCACTCTCGTTGTCCTCTTTCTCCTACTTCTTCATTTTTCTGAGCTTATCCTCCTCAACAAAACACAGTCCTGCCTTCCTTCCCTTCCCTCTCTGTGTCCAATCCTTTTTCAGACCTGCCCACATGTCCCCCTCCCCAGCCACTCCCTCCTTCCTTTTAATTTCCTGCTACCTTGTCTCTACTTACATCCCCTCCCACTTTATCCGTCGCAACTATACTGTTGTTTTTTCTTCTTCCTAGCGGAGCTGCAGAGAGCAGGATCACCTTCTAGTGTTATACTCCCAAATAAACAGAACACAGCATGTTCTCAGGGTGCTTCTGAAGACAGCTCTGCAAGCAGCCGCCTGTGTACTCTGACTGCAGGTCTGCTTGTTAAAAAGGTGTCCACACCGGCTACAGAAGCTTGTGAGTCATTATGTAAGTTCTGCAAAGCATGGAGTAATACAGCTAGTAGAAGAATATGATAATAAACCCAGAATAAGCGGAAAGCAACTGATGGGTACAAGCAACATTTTTGAGAAGGTTGAAAAAACAGAGAAAGGGAATCCAGCTAGCCTGTAGTGTTTGCCAAACGTGGCACTTCATATTGGCTGTTGCCTTTGTGAGGATGCCAAATGTAATTTAGTTTGGAGAATAGCCTCAGCCTTGAGGCCTGTTCCGGTTTGGTGTTTTGTATTCAAATAAATGAAAATCATACATAATCCATTGGAGACTGACTACTATTGACACCTGGGTCCAGAATGTGTTTCAAATGTTCCTTGAGTGACCGTTTGTTGTTGGACCTCAGTTTCTGTACTCACTGTGTGAAACTGCTCAACAGAGAAACAACACATCTGTGCTCAGCCAAGCAGCCAGAGAGAGGAAGTGTTCAGCCCAGAGTACAGACTTCAAATCAACTGTGTTTGTGAGGTTTAGCATTCACATTGCATTTCACTCCTGTGTGATCAATCTCTGTCTATCTTTTAATTCGTTTTGGTAGTGAAGGCTTGCTCTGATTATTGATTTACCTATAAAAGATGTTCACAGTAATGAGTTGTTTAGTTTAAAGGTGACCTATCATGCAAAATGCACCTTTGTACGTCTTTGATACATGAACATGTGTCCCCGGTGTTCCAGGGAACTCACCAAGTGTCAGAAAACACAACCCTCTCTATTTTCCTCCATACCCAAATCTCTTAAAAAGGGGCTGCAACGGATCTGATACAGATTGATCCAGATTTGAACACTTCTATGACGTCACAGAAGTGGCGCTACGGCTATTGGGCCAACTCCACCAATCAGGAGGAGACAGCCACGGACATTGCCGTTCCAAAGCGCTGGATACACTGTAGTACATATGCCAGGCCTGTAGATGGTGCTGTTCTCACAGAATCAGCCCATGCAAAGACAGTGTTAAATTGAGCGAAATGAGGAATGGCTAAAATGCATGATCGGTTTGGTATTTTGAAAAATAAAAAGTATAAATATGCCTTATATAGGTATGGTCCTACACTATATTATTCAAATATAGCATGATAGGTCCACTTTAAATTGAGGATAAATGTCCATCTCAGTAGTCTCCCTTGTTTCGTCTTACCAACTTTATAAAATACCTAATGGTATTTATGTAAAGGGAGATTCAAGATATTCAGTATAGCACCTGTATAAAGTCTGGGAACTGAGAGAAATACATTTATAAAGAAAAAAGGGGGCTGAGATTCTGACATGAGTCCCTACCACGGGTCAAGTTTGAAAACACTGGATCCCACATTTCCCACACTGCAACTTGATGATTCATATATTGGAGTCATACCTGATGTGCCTCTTTAGTATTCAAAATAAAAAAAGAAACAACCAAGATTCCACTTTCTACTATCATGACTTTACATCATGTTGAACCACCATGCCTGGTCTCTTCATTTCACCTCTGACATTCTCAACTACACAATGTCTAAATGTAATGATTCTTGACACTCAAGCATTAGCTGGAACTGATAAGACATGCAGTCCTGTGATCATCTATCCACAAACTATCCCTTCTCCTCTTGTCCCCCGTCCTCCTGCCCCGGTACGTACCTGTAAAGCTGCTGTTCATGTCCGGGAGGTCCTCGTCTTCCTCCTGCTGCTGCTCTCCAGGCCCTATTCCAGCATTTTGCATGTCATTGTAGGACTTGGAGCGTCGGGGAGTGGAGTGCTCAGAGCCCGGCAGGCTACCGCTGAGCCCGTCTGGCAGTGGGGCATCACCGCCGCTACCGCTACTGCTAATCACTTTCCCACCGGGGGGCTGCACCGGTGGCTTGGGCGTCCCATAATAGTTACCTAGGCAACGAGAGAAGGAGGAATGGATTAAAAAAGACGGGGGTGGGGAGGGGTTTTTGAGTCCGATGGGTCAAAGAGTTGTGTGTGTTGGAGGGGGAGAGAACAGGTTTGTGTGAGGAACATTTGAATATCTGAAGCAAAGCTAAATATGTTTCTTGTTTGACCGAGGTAAAGTTTAAACTACTTTGTTTTAACTTATCACAAACTAATAATGTTTTACGCAACAACACTTCCCACATGATTTTTCCTCCCTTATAACCAATGAAAGTGGATATTGTACGATTCAGAGTTGATTTATATTCGGTTACCAAGAACAGTAGTAGTTTTCCTGAAAGTATTTAAGTTGGCATTGAGTAAAGCAGTTGTCAGACAGATTGTCCTTCAGTGCCTGTACCACATTTCAAACTGACAGTTTCAAAGGCGAGAGAACAAAACATGCAGAACTGTTTTATTTTCTATTATTGAGTCATTCTCATCCAAAGTTAGAACAGAGAGGCCTCAGCAGACTGTACCATCTGAGAATCAGAATATAAAGACAAATATAAAGCCTTCATCTTAACAGCATTAGCATCCAAAAGATAAAGGCAGGAGAAAAAAATAACATACCTGGATGACGTACTGGGAAATAGACATTTTGGCATGTCATTACAGGAAAAGCACAGGGGTAATTGATAACAATAACAACAACAGCCATTTTAGCCATGAAAAAGGTTTATAAGCACATTTTAAAACAGGTTTGTAATGATAAAACCTGTTTAAATATTTAGCATGTGCCTAAAGTGCCATCGAAATGGTATTGGTGTAATTCTGGACCCAAAAATAAGTTATTTTTTTAATGTTGAAAACGTACATTTAGGCTTGTATATATTTATTTCATAGTTTAACGTTTATAGTCTATAAGGTAAAACAAGATCATGACAAAGGTTGTCGATCATTTCAGTCACAACCTAATATAAACCAAAGTGACATTTTGTGTCACCAAAACATATATTAATCTTACAAACTAAATTAAATGAGTAATAATTTAAATATCCCCAATGTTTTACCGGACAATAAACAGCCAAAAACCTGGAGCCAAAGCTGCAGAAAAATTCCAGAATTGCGTCTTTTTTAAATACTTTAAAGTGACGGAAAGATAATGTGAAAGCTTCTGATTTTCTCCATATGGTCCTCAGCGGGAGTGAGTGAGCTAGCTGCCAGTCAGGAAGTCACTGGGCTTGTTTGCCTCTCTTGCCTTCAGAGGGAAATCCATTGTTATGGAACAGTGAGCAAGCAAAATGGACACAGCAGACACTTAATTAAACATTATCTGACTGAATGGCGGGGGGGACATGGTCGTGTTGTTGTTTACAGTCCTCTCAATGATGACTTTGGTTTATCAGCAAAGTGTTGTTTGCTGAGTGTGACGCATGCTGTGTTTCCAATGTGTCATGATCACTGAACTTATTACTTTTCTTTACTTTATTGTCTACGGCAGGTTTTCAAAACTTCTTCACTTCCTCATCAAATTTGCTTTTGGTGTTTTTTTTTCCCACCTTTCATCCCACTGTGTGATAACCTGTAGCATCATTCTGAACAAATGCTTTATCGGTGTTAACTTGTTAGAAACTAAATCATAAGTTTGCTTTGATTTGAATGTCTAATTTTCAGAGACAGTTTACAGTGGCATCAGGAACAAACTCCTTAAATCAATTAAAATGTTTTTATTCCTGGAAAGTTCCTGGCTAGTAGAAAGGGTGAGCATTGCTCTTGGAAAATATTTTGAAACTAGACATCTAACACATGAAAAATGTATCCACCAACACATGCGCATTATTTTAGTTGTGGCAGCTAGAAAGGAGAACCTACTTGAAAAGTGTGTACATTTGTGATGTGCGTTCGATTACAGTGTCGCAAGGCAACTGCAAATCACTCATTACGACCCCAAAGACCCTAGACCTGATGTGAAAGGTGTGTCTATGCTGACCTAGAACAAATCAACCAAACACTAACACTGCCAAATGCCCAGCAGATCTATATCACACCCGCCATTTTAATATTTTGTTAATATACATCTGCTATTTTCCTTACGTGAAACGCAAAGTGTACCAAGATGTTGACGGCAACCCTTTCAACTTTCAAACCAACTTTTTCTTGTCTGCTTTAGTGTTTTCCAATATGTCTACGATTTGCTTTCAACAACCGCTCCAGATACTGTAGCAGGTTAAACATGTTGCTGAAAGCTCTCTGACCTACATATACACTGAACAGAGTGATAGCAATAGCGGTGCATACCAAACAAGCAGGATAATTTGAACTTTTCAATTTGAGAAAAGCATGTCCTCCTAAAGCATTGCCCTATGATGTAGTGTTTGTTCAGCAATGGATTTTATCCAATGTGATTGTTAAATGTCAACTCGAACAAAATCTAGTAAAAATGTGCTTTTTGACTCAAAGGGACTGACATCAAAACTTGACAGTAGCGGAAGCGGAGGCCATGATTTGAGCGCCGGCGCGAGGCAGAGGGAAGTCACTGTGCCTCCTGCTGTGCCGGCAGCTGCACCTGTCCAGCAGCCGGACACAACAGGCACACGTTCTGACAATGTAACATGGAGAGGCTGAGTTTAAACCCTGGCTGAAAGTACAGAGGGACGTGGCTATTTTCTGCCATGCAAGCTGGCTTACCCGTCTAACATCATGACATTAGATACTTTAATCATGTTCACTGATTGACGCACAAAGAACAGGAGTAATAGTTGCGTCATTGAACTCCTACTTGTGTTAAACACAGCGAGTGTTTAATGACGACGGTGCCAAGTCGTGAGCGTCTTGTCATTAGTCATGGCAAAAAAGGTCAGTGAACAGCATAACTAAGTCATAGTTTTTGTTAACAAAGTTAGCATTGACTCCTACGTTCAGCTACTAAAAGAGTGGATTTACGTCATTGACAGATTATGTTGGTTTGAATGGAATAACGTAACAGAGTGATAAAACATTAATCCACTGATGTTTGCTGTTGACTTTCTAGATATTGGAAACCTATAAAAACGATTGACCCCCTACACGGTTGTCATACTCTGACATTGCATACAATACACCCAGGCAAGTGTGTGATATATTTTAACTCACCATCATATGTTCCAATCTCCAAAAGGGTCCCACTCTTCTCCAACTCCAGGAAATCCTCTACTGAGAGGAAGTTGTAGTCCACGCCAGGAACTTCTGCGTCACGTGGGCCGCGGGTTGTACCTGAACAACAAATCAGAGACAGGGTCGAAGTTAGCCAAATAGAATGAATATCCAGCAATACGGAGGAGGGTGACAGTTGGAGCGGGCGTGTACAAATTCACTGAAGCACAGCTTTTATCTTAGAAGTCACTCCCTTTTCCTGACACATATTTATTTCAATACATCATCGGAAAACTGGTTTAGCAGCCATTTATCCTTACACATACAACATTTCAGGGATATTGTATTTCAAATGCTATATAAATGAGCAATTGTAATAGTGATAAAAGTAACGTTAGTGTTTGCTATGATTGTCCTTCACACTGGGGGAAGAGTGTGAGATATCGTAGTAGCAAGTGGGATCCTGCCATATGTGATGGAAAAAAGGGAGTGACTGTGTGTGTGTGTGTGTGTGTGTGTGTGTGTGTGTGTGTGTGTGTGTGTGTGTGTGTGTGTGTTTGTGTCGTTTGGCATGTAGCCTGTGAGATCTAGCACCGTCTTAAATGACTGCTGACAGTTGGCCGGTGTTTCGTCAACGGTAAACAGCTTTACAGCTGAGACAATAGTGAGTTTACACCACTGTTTAATTAACTGACAATAGAAGTCATGATGCCTTTTTCTCTACTTCCTTTGCTCTGTTCAATCATTTAATGTTTGCCTCACCAGTGCACATTTCCAAACTATTGTCTGACAGGGGCTGCACAATATATATATATATATGTATTTTATTTATTTTGTTATCATACTTGCAATGCCAACTTGCACACATCGCACATACAGAGAGGAATTGTTTTAGTTAGTTGAAAGGAAGTCTCACTAGGAACTGTTGATTATTTTGTTTTCATTTCAGTGTTCAAATGTTTTTTTTTTTTATTGATTACATTACATGTCATTTGTTAGACGCTTTTATCCAAAGCGATTTACATTAATTCAGTACTGTGGACAATCCCCACCGGAGCAATATGCTGACTGCAGTGGGACTCAAACTTCCTACCCCCTCATTTGAAGTCCAGCACACTATCCACTGAGCCACAGCCTCCCATTGATGTTGGAATTTGTTGTTTTTTAATGAAAGCAACAGTAAGACAAAACCAATTGTACATACATAGCATAATTCATTGTTATAATAGGACTATCACGATATTTAACAATGTTATAGCATATTTTCCTCATATTGTGCAGCCTTTTTGTGTCCCACTACAAAAAGAAAATAATTCAGTTGTTGGCTTGAAAAATGCAATAAATGCAAGCGTCAACGGCTCATGGCAAATAATCTTTCTCATCTTATTCTGACAGACATGTGTTTCCCGACATCAGAGGGCTTTCCCTTCTTTGCCTTCCCTCTCCTGATTTATCCATCTTATCTCCCAATCACTCCGTCTCCTGTGGGTTGGTAGGCAATAAGCTGGTAAAAATAGATGTGTGGGGATAAGGGGGAGAGGCTCCTACTGCAGCCACGCTCAGTGACACCAGTAATAAATCACACATGTGTAGGTCCTTACTCTATGCAAGCAGAAAAGAACATGTAGAAACAAACACACAGAAACACAGAATCTCTCACACAAAATAGTCTCCAGTTCAATGGATCAGACCAATCCTCCAACTTTTACAATCACACACTTCTTTTATGGTATCTCTGCTAAAAGCTACTGAACGCGGATAAAGAAAATGTCATTTCTTCCTGTTCATCACTAGCATTCAAACTTTACTTCCACTCTTTGTGAGCAGACACTCATTCAGTGGGAGGACATTGACCTATAGTCAATCAGATCCTACCCTGAAGTCTTTCAAACAAATGGTGCGCTCATTCCCAGGCACCGAGCCTTTTACAGAACGTCAACCTTGGAGAGTCCTCAGCCGACAGTCAGTTTGCTTCCCACACAAAAGTGGCCATTGATTGGACTCCAATTAGACACTGCTGCTCTTAGAAAGCCAAACAGGAAGTGGAATTGTGACCTGTGTTTCAAAAAGCGATGGAAAAGCATTGGCTCATACCCAGGTGTGAGAAACGGTCATCGCTATAGGCCTCATTAATTCAATACCAAGCCAAAACAAAAGCTCCATTGACCGAGCTGTGAGATAGAAATAAAAGCAGGTTGGGACTTGTGCAAAGACACTTCTGCCTACAGTTGGGATTGCAGCAACACCACTACTAAAATGCAGAGGAAGACATAGAAGGAGTGAGACTTCCAAAGCTAAGTGCTAGCATAATCCAGCTACCGGCACACACAATGAAAAGCCTTGAAGATTTGCTGTGAGGGTGTTCGTCTAAAGCTGGCTGGCTCACGGCTTAACGGCTTCAACATCTTCACCAGCTGAGATTGGTGGGTGGGCGTAGTGTGATAAAAAAAATCATCATTAGCAATTCAGGAGGATGATCATGGAAACGAGAGTTGCTAGTGGTACTGTGAGCAGGGAGCTTAGAGTCACCACTGCTGCAGCAAAATACATTCACACGCCCAAAAACAAACAGCACATGTACCACCAGCCTGTTACTGTATAAGACACAAGAATACATGCACCATGACTGTATGTTCTTTTAAAAAAAAAAAGAGCAACAAAGGAAATAAGTAATTTCTGTGTCTTCATGCATCGTGCCACTGGGTCTCTGCTGTTGCCAGGGACAACAGAGGAAGGATAGAGAGAGCGAGAGGGATGTGGGGAAGCTATGAGGGGAAGTGTTTCCTCCAGTGATGAAGCAGTCCTTTACATGGTCTCCTCTGGCTTCACAACACCCTTTTCAATTCCATGACAGAAATATGAAGCACCAGAGAGGCATGACTCGCAGGCCTGGTCCGTACGAGGAAGCATAAAGAATGCATGCACGGGAAAAATGAGAGTGGGAAAAGGCTTCAAGAGCGGAGGGGGTGAGAAAAACATGATCAGAATTTCACGGACTGCATTACTCTTGACAGTGGTCTAAATAAGTTAGTATTCTGATCAATCTGTTTATAAAGCTTGCTTTCAGGGCTGAGCATTAAAGCCATTGCTTATTAAGCAGCGACTTCATTGTTTACTGTGAGTTTACATTAAGAGTTCAACCTTAAATCACATCTTTCTTTTGTGTTGCCATAGTAGTATATTCTTTAGGCAAATCATCTACAAACTCTGTTAGACCTGATTTACACGCAAACGCATACGAAACGCAAACGAACCGAATACGATATCAAAAAAGTATTCTGTTGACACGAGGCCGCTCGGGAGCGCTGGAGACGCTGTAGTACATATGCCGGGCCTGTAAGTGGCGCTGTACTTCAGCCACAAAATACACCAAAAGCAGCGAAGAAGACCCCCGAGCATGGTTGGTTCTGTTTATGCCCCGCAGTGGATTTAGCAACATGTAGTTCATGTAATTCTCCATGTCCACTTCTTGCTGATGGTTGTGGTAGAGGAGCTGTAGATTTTGCACTAACATCTGTAGCATAGCTACTGACCATGCTACAGCAGTGAGCAGCAGAGCTGGGGCTATGGTTTCATCGTTATCAGGAAATGATCGTATAGGGCAGGGGTTCTCAACCTTTTTTGGGCCAGCGCCCCCCTGTCCATTATCCAGGTCTCTTACCGCCCCCCATCAAAAAAAGTAGACTTATTTTCTTCCCTGAATATTAATGTTGACTAATATTCTGTGTTATATCATTTAAAAAGCATGTCACTGAATGCCAAATAATAGATTTGATTTAACAGGGCAGTTGGAATATCATTATCATTAGTTTACCAGAGAGCAGAAAAGCCATGTGAATGTGAATAAAAATGATATTTATGAGTGTTAAACAAACTCAGACAAGAGCAGAGAATACAAACAGACTGCTACGGAACAGCAGCAATTTCACACATGTCCAGTGCAGAACAAACAGTAGGCTACAAAACTGTACATTAGGCCTACAGAACTAACAGGTCGGAAAGGTGTTGCATTTCGCCAAATTGCGGGGGGGGGAAGGTTAGTGTGAGCCCTGCGCTTGGTGGTTCTCCGCCAGTTTCTTCACTGCGGGTTGCAGAGAACNCAAACCATGAAAGGGGGCACCGTCAGTAGCACATGCGAGGATTTGTTGTTGATCGCGATTGACTTCTCCTGCTAGATAAGCATCCAGTGCATTTAAAAATGGTCTGGCCCTTGGTGTCTGTGACCAGATAATTTTGGAAAATAAGAAGATTCCTCAGCCATCATCCTGACTGTTGGAGGTGCTATAGCGGACGATAGCCATTAAACAAACATTGTTGTCAGGAATGGTTGTCTCATCGCAGCCTGAAGGCGAAGAATGAGTGTTCCCGCCAGGGAGTGCCACACAGCCTGCTCCTCTGTATCCAGCGCACTCCCAATATCATCCAATCCTGCCGCGTGCTACGGTGTCATTAGGTACGAGTGGGATGATTTCAGCACTGTGATGGGTACGCTACCATCCACCTTGACGCATATGAACCTCTTTGATGGCCATGTGAGTACCAACTTCTCTCCGATTGTGAACGGCTGGCCCACATTTGGCCATCAGCAAGGAGAGGTTATATGACGCTATTAGCCCGCTGTCAGTCTGGGTGGTCTTCCTAGCGAAGAGACTGCTGCTGAATGCGTGCCTCCTACCCATGTTTTCTCTTTTGAGGGCCTGGAAGAACGGCCGCGCTCCCTTATCGGCCCTGTATCCGGGTGGATCTCTTGTAAAGGTGCCTCCTTTTAAACGGTGAGGGATTTCATTCCCTCATTGGAAAATTCTCAAGTTTGCGAATACATGTCTTCGCGCAAAGTAAACACATTGGGAGTCTGTGCATTGGGTTAGCAGAAGACGGTATGAAGCCATAGCTAAGACTATTCAATAGAGTACTGTCTGCATTTTATCTTTTCGCGGGGCCATTTTGCTGATCCGTGATATGATTTTTGTTGGATTTATGATGCTAATATTTAGGGGTGGGGGGTAGTGTCCACGATATGGGGCGGCAAACGGCTAGAAGGGCTAGCTGGTGACATGACAAGACATCGTGCGGGAGCGGACCGGGGAAGTCGTTGTAATTTTGAACAAACAGAGCTCTGTGTGGAGCAGCCTGGCTAGCCAGCTCTTCCATGTCGTAGCAGACATAGAAACGGGTATTATTTTCATAAACTGACCACTTAGTTTGAATCTGTTAGTGGAATTTGTCATATCAAAACATATCAAAATGTAACAAAGTGACACAGATTATTAACAGTCGCGATCCCAAAATTACAACGACTTTCGGTCCGCTCCCGGCTCCTTTTTGTAGGGTACGTTCGTAAATGCGCTCAGAGCGCTCCGAGCGTCCCCGTTCCACAGTCCAGAGCGCTGCGCTCTGAGCGCTCACAGCTGGGTGCTCTGGCGGAACAGACGGGTTGTCCGAGCGGACTGACCGTTCGTGCATTTGCGAACGTACCCGTAATAACACTGCTGACAGCTGACCAATCGCAAGCAGAGTTGTGGTTTCCTATAGCAACAAAAGATGCTGACAGCTGCTTTTTGTACAGGAAAAGACGCTGTGGCCAGCGTTTTTCATGACAAAAAGACATTATGCGTGAACGCCCCCCAAGAACACCTCAACGCCCCCCTTACAAAAATATTGCTTCCAGCGCCCCCCGATGTTCTCTGAACGCCCCCTGGGGGGCGGTACCGCCCCCGTTGAGAACCAGTGGTATAGGGTGTACACACGGAGCCGTTTGGAGTGTTCCGTTTGCAGATATATCCACCTTGCCTACCAGTTATCGTATGCGGGGTCCGTTTCAGCGTTTCCGTTACGCCCTTGTGTGAACGAACGGGCTATACGAAAGAGAAAAGTACAGGTATTTATTGTAAGGCTTAATGTTTTACTACATCGTAATATATTTTGCAGGTGTTCATGTTATTTCGTCCGCCCCTTATGCGGCACAGAAACATATTCAAAGCTTAACTTTTCTGTGAATTTTAACCAGCCAGCCAATTAGTCTATAGCATTATTTGATTCTCTTTAGATGTCTAACAGACAGTTGGGAGGCAGGGTGCAAAACTTTACTGCCAAATTAAATTAAGCATATTGTAAAGATGTCAGGACTGTAGCATACTAATCAGGCATATTTTAACACTTAAGATTTAAATCTGCAGTGAAACAGCAGCCTTTAATTAAGAGTACAGGCTAAAGGCCAGAATTCTGTTGGGCTGAGCCCTCGAAACAGCAGATACACATATCTGTTTGTGGGAAAAAGCAAGACCGAGACACAGTGATATGTAAAATATGAATTCTTATTGGGTGAGGGCTAGGTAAAAGAATGTATAGCCTGTTAAAATGTCCAAAGATAAAGTTAAACTGCTTTTTAATGGGATTTCAGTATAGTTTTCTGTTTCTAGTTTTCTTAATGTAAATAATAATTGTCTGTCCCCCTGCCTATATTTATGTATATTCCTTTCCTTCACACAGATGAGGGCGCAGTGCGGAGCCACCTCTCCCCTCTGGCATTCAGCAGCGGGTTGACTCCGACACTATTAACAGTCCCAGAGGGGTGACATGGCTCGTGTGTTTGTGTGGATGGCAAACATGCTTTGGCTTGTAATGGTACAAAAAGGGTTAGGAAGAAAACACCTCATGTTATAATCAACAGCTGTTCCACCCACTGTCATGCAGCACACACACACTCAATGAAGAAGAGGTGCGTGGCCACCAAATGGCACGGTCTGGGGCTAAACAGGGGCTGTGGGTGGAGGGTAATCACCTAATGGAGCTTCACACACACACACACACACACACACACACACACACACACACACACACACACACACACACACACACACACACACACACACACACACACACACACACACACACACACACACACACACACACACTCCTGTCTATGCTGTGAACCACCTATGGTGATCAGATTAGCAACCCACAATGAGATTTAGGGCTCAGCACCTCTGCACTGTATCTACAGTTACACAAGCCCTGATGACTATAAGAAGGGATACCAGTTTAGCCATACCACAAAAACAAAATCAGTGTTACCACTTCTACCTTTATAATAATTATTGTTTTACTTTTATTCTGAATGTCACCATCATTTATGTTATTTCCTCTTTTTTCTCTTAATGTTCCTCATTGTTTGGTCAGACAGTTAGATAATCAATTATTAATACGCTAACATAGACACTCGGGGAGTAGGACATGTTTTGAATGGCTCTCCAGAAACACATTAAGTGTAAAGAGAAAACATTAAGTGTAAAGGCACCGTTGTGACGAAAAGGGAGCTGAGCCAGAAGGCAAAGCTCTCTGTCTACCGCGCCATTTTCGTTCCTACCCTCACCTATGGTCATGAAGGATGGGTCATGACCGAAAGAACGAGATCGCGGGTACAAGCGGCCGAGATGGGTTTTCTCCGCAGGGTGGCTGGTGTCTCCCTTAGGGATAAGGTGAGAAGTTCGGTCATCAGGGAGGGACTCGGAGTTGAGCCGCTCCTCCTTCGCGTCGAAAGGAGCCAGTTGAGGTGGTTCGGGCACCTAGTTAGGATGCCACCTGGGCGCCTCCCTAGGGAGGTGTTCCAGGCACGTCCAGCTGGGAAGAGACCAAGGGGTAGACCTAGAACCAGATGGAGGGATTATATCTCTTCGCTGGCCTGGGAGCGCCTTGGGATCCCCCAGTCAGAGCTGGTTGATGTGGCCAGGGAAAAGAAAGTTTGGGGCTCTCTGCTGGAACTGCTACCTCCGCGACCCGACCACGGATAAGCGGGAGAAGATGGATGGATGGATGGATGGCACTTTCAGACAAAGCACCTTAGAAAAACACAACGACTGCATTGTTGTGTTGCAACAGGGTAGGGCTGGGTGATATGGGGAAAATTAAGCATTTTTAGCCAAATACCTCAATATTGAAATTGGGTCAAAAAAGGTATACCAATACTGCTTTCACAAATACTTACGCAATGAGATTTTTCATAAATAATAAACGGATATGTGGGTATTATGAAAGTGGATAACTCTAAGATTTTCTGATATTTTTACCGAAAATTACACAACACCACTGTGCAACCTTTAAAGCTATCAAGAGACAACACCATACTACGATTTCGATCTCACATTACAATATCGATATATTGGTCGTCGCCACCTCAGAGTAAGGACACCAGATAACATGAGGCACGAAGTTCAGTTTAAAGGCTCATTCAAATGTAAGACATGGTTCACTGCGATAAACTCTTTTCAGGCAGCAAAAGCTGGATTTGCCCAATTTAGAAAGATTATCAACAAGCATTTTCTCCTCTGGCTCAACGCTTGCAAAGCTAAATTAGCCCAATGATATAAGTATACCCTTTAAGGATGTTTGTAATATGTGGTGTTCCACAGGTGTTTTTTTTCTGAACCTGACTACAACCATTTCAGGCCTAAAGACTCAACAGGGGTAGGGTCCAGAAAACGACTGCCTAACCCTAACCTATTCAAAATGAACTCGACAGTCAACATTTCCAATACCAACATGCCAATCCCATTGCTATTCATGGTGTTATTAGCCCTATCAGAAGTCGTGGAAGGGATATCTACAGTAGAGGGCATTAATAATAACGTGTCTCGTAAGGGGGTTAAAACGAAATAGATGACAGTTGACTTTAACAAGGGCCATCCTGATAAAGCCCCACTCCGGGGACCTTACTAAGGATTTGACCTGGATTTATTCATCCCATACTCCCTGGTTCAAGTTACAGCGGCTGATAAAGGCAAGAATCCCAAACCTAATCTCCGAGTACATTCAGAGGCACCATAAAAATGTCTCTTTCTCAATATCTGGCACAGGGCCAGCCACGCATCAGACCACAATATGAGCACAACAGAGAGCATACTTCAGTTCTCTGCATTGCATTCACAAAGCTTCCTGTATTTTCAAGGATTCCTCAAATCCTTCTTACAATTTATAGATTCCTCCTCCATGTAGTAGGGTCCATACTCCCCCAACACAAAGGCAGAATAACAGCATATATATTTCCAGGCTGCTAAGCTTCTAAACTCCCTGACCTCGGTCATCTGCTTTCCTGGCTGAAATGTCAGTAAATCAATGAGCATTGATCTATGAATTAATGCGGGGAATTCTTACAGTTTCTGCTTTCTACAGCCCTTTTAAAAGCATTTTCCCATTCAGTTCATCCAATCCCTGCAGCATCCAAAGGCAGCAGGACACATGTTGAGGAATCCGAAGCCTCTGAGAACGTTCAGAGCGCAGTGCCATTTATCCACAACTGGTAGGCTTGTACCGTGTTAACCTTCATTAAATGGTATGAAATGAAACTATGGGGATACAGTATAGCCAAACAGACATATGCACACACCAGATTGAACAATTATAACTCGATATTCTGCTTTTTTACACATAGCCTCTTTTCTTTTCACAGAATAATGTCATGGAGCACATCCACAAGCATTGGCATTCACTTGTGTAGCATCAGTTACGACAGTATGTAACCATGTTCAAGAGGAGATACAGAATGCAATAACAGTGTTAAATATAATCATAAATGGTGGAAGATCATACGTCTAGAGTTTTAGTTATCAGCTGTTTTAGACCCGCTGATCAATATCCAACCTCACCAAGCGTTTTCACACGTAGTGCTACTGCACATATAAAGTATAGGTACTAATGGGGACGCCATCACAGACCAGGCATCTGGACATTTATTTTTTGAAATGTCAACTAAGACTGCAAATGAATAAACTGATAAATGAGCACCCTGCTAAATGAAATCAGTTCAAAAGTGATTACCTGCATACAAAGCTCCATTCAGTGACATTATCAATCGGATCGGAGCCGATCACGTGATTTTCAAAAGATCGGAAGAAAAAAATCGGGGATCAGGATTATTATTATTATTTTTTTATCAAATATTTTTATTATTTTATTTAATGTTACAAAAAAAATGACCATGTTCACGTCTTAAAGTCATCCTGAGGCCTTAGTTTTGGTTTAAAATTACACAACATCATGTATGTGTTGCTTCTTATGGGTTTGTTTTCATAGACCTGGTTGCTTATTTCTCTTAAATCTAGCAACAGAGTGGGCAGGGCGCAGTGTCTAATAGTAGCAGTAAGCTAACGAGAGGCTACGTTCAGCTGGTGACTCGGGAATCGGGACAGAGAAAATGTCAGGAGTATGGAAGTATTATAAAATTGAAAGTGAAGGCAGTGTAACAGCCAGATGCAATGTTTGCAAGGCGGAGACTTTTAAAAGGAAAGAGAAACTGCCCCAGAACAGTGAAAAGGCCCAAAAAATAACAGCCAAGATAGCTGAATTCATCGCGTTGGATGACCAGCCGTTATCTGTTACCTGTTTTTTTTCTTAATGCATTGCATAAAGATCGGATCGGGAAAAATCGGTATCGGCAGATTGTCAAAATCAAATGATCGGAATCGGAT